TGTGTTCTTTTTTTAATAAATCCCATACACTTGTGTTGCGCCTTTTGTGTTTTCTCATAAAGTACTGCACATTTTATTTATCTTATTGCACAGTATTATTGAGAAAGTTGAATCATTTTGACAGACATAATTTTTTTTTCGGATGTGTTCCGCGTTTTGAAAATACAACAGATTTTTCACAGATTTTGAAGTAGAATTTCAATTAATTACATTCACGATCCGATACCAGATATTTCACGATCCGATCGCAATGCTTGACCACCGTTAGGTATTCTTTCACGATCATTTCTCTCGATATACCGATTGACAGTCGTGAGTAATATGTAGTTAGAGTCAAGTAATTATATTTTAAATGGCTAAGAAGGTACGGTAAAGCAATTACAATTTTACAATACAGCTGGTTTAGAATGTGTACTAATTTTCAATAAGTCAACAGCAAGGCATACGATATGCAAGTTAGTGGTCATCTTTTTGCAACGGGACTGGACTGCACAATTTTTTAAAAGGATATTGCAAAATCCTGGGTTATTGTTTTGGTATAGAACGGCTGGCGACGCGGCACCAGCTGTTTCCTCGCAATAACTTAAGAACATCAACAATGCTTTTCAAATTTGAATATGTTGTTTATGATGACTAAATTGAGGTCGGGTTCGATATTGACGATTTCATTATGCAATTCGGTAGTAATGTTACTTGTTTGATTGGGAAATGACACTGTTTGTCGTATCCGTGCAATTATACTTGCCAACCGTTCAACCAATGATTCTCAAATTTTGATATGTTGTTTCTCATGACAAAATAGAGGTTAATTTTGATGTTGACGAGTTAAAGTGCCATCTTTAAATCAATCATACGGTCCTTATGGCCTTTTACATCTGACTGCGTGTTATGGGTTGAAGGCCATATGGTGACTTATAATTGCTTAATTACGCTTCATTTGGCCCCAATTGGATAGTTGTCTCCTTGGTTATTATATCACATCTCCTTATGTTATAAAATTTCAGCTGCCAGTCTATTGAATAGTCAAGATCCGTTATTGACACTGCTAAACAGTTATCGAGTATAGTATTAAAGTACTTTTTAATGGTCAAGAAGTGAGTGGATGACCAAATCCTTTAAATTCTACTAAGTTCTGGCGTAATTTTCTTTAAGTAAATTTTTACCGCGTAATTAATCTGTAACATAAACAGTCGGGTTCAAAATAATTTTGTTACTAGTACTACATTTGCCTTTATTTATTGGCTGCTTGAAATCCAGGTGGAACTATTTATGCATATTTAGGATCAAAATAATGAGTGAGGTGAATATTTCTTGCTTTGTACTAAAACAACATCCTGAGTAAGATAGTTATATAGCTTGACTAGAAGTGGTTGAACCAATAACCCACCTCTAATTATTATGACCAATCACAATACAGCATCACCTTGGTCTCGTTGGAACTCTTTAAATCCCCCCCCCCCCAACATAAATGGGGAATGTGTCCATGGGACACAGATGATGCCCCCGCTTGCATATCATATAAAGTTATAAAGAGACATAACTGAAGAACGGTAAAAGTGACGCTACCCAAATTTGTTATTGATCTGAGTTTTGTAGTAATAAGTCAGGCGCGTAGCAACCCGTACGCAAAAACGCAGTTGCGTACACATCGAAAATTTGACAAAAATAAAAATATGGCAAATCTAGTAAGAATAAAACTAAAGTAATAGAATAAATTAAAAAGTATTATAAAAATATGCTAATAGTCACTTTGTAACTATATTTCGTTCCGGAAACTAGTCTACTCTTTTCAATCGTGATTGTGTTGCTGATGCAGACAATTAAAATAGCTGAGTCCTCGGGTGTCCGAACACAATTGTTACGGCTGCAATGCCTCCTTACCCTGACATCTTTTCTGAAGATTTCAAAATAACTGATGAAATAAAATATGACGTTCTTGAGCAGCAAGTCATTCTTATGATTATCCTGTGAGATATGTATAGTCTTACATAGGTCGTCATCATGAACAGATTTTTTCAAACAGTCCAGTCAAACTTAATTTAAACTTAAGATTGTTAATGGTAATTTTCTTGCAACGTCTTCGCCGTTTTTTTTTTTATTTGACGACCAACGGGTTTTTACTTTTTTATTCTGCGTTCGGTCGTGCAAGACGGGTGCCTCGTTCAACGTGTTCCCCCGATTTAACTATACGTGCCTCGAGATTAAAAGTGCTTATTCTCCATGTTCATTTAAAGTGCTTGTTCTCCTTGCTTGGTAAAAATAAAATACTCTCGTTTTGGAAGTTGATAAATAGAAATCTGAAATAATTTGATGCTTTTCCTTGTAGATTTCGGGACTTCAAACGTATTTATATATAGTTAAAGAATTCCAAATTATGATATTATAAACAAGGATTTATACTCGGGAAACTTTAATATACTTAACGTATATGCATGTATGCCGGTCTCGACGGCAACGACAGAACGATCTTTCGGTACCATGAGAAGACTACAGAAATACAATGAAAACCAATCGTTTATCTGGGCTTGGTCTATTGAACATATAGCGTGAAAAACAAATTTCAACAGACACGGTTTTGGACATCTTCAGTACAGTAGAAGAAAGGAAAGGAAATGGTCATTGACTTTCAGAATTAACTTTAAGAATTAAAAGCTAAAAGAAAGACTGTTTGTTCTCTTATAAAATAAAACATAGAATAATGTGATTCCATTTATTTATGTATTTTCTCAATAAAAAAATCCATTTAAGTTGCACGGTGTTGGCTTAGAAATTTGAATTTTCTAATGTATAGTGGGTTGAGACTGATTAGGTAACAATTAAAATATATGGTGGTGGCACTATATATTTTAATTGTACCTAATATATAAACAAGTTCTACCAAGTTTACTTTCTCTAATTATTTTTTTTTTCAAATTTAATTATTTTAAAAAGTTGACTTGTTTACTCATTCAAATAAGATTTCTGTGAGGTCATTTTTAGTCCCAGGAAATCGCGAGAATGCAGGATTTTGCATCATTTACTCCAGAGCTTCTGGGGGCCTTGAGCGGCCCCAGACCCCTCGCCGTATGACTTCCTTCCCCGGCATTGAGTACACACCATTTTGGCCTAGCTACGCCCCTGGCGAGAATGCAGGATTTTACATCATTTACTCCAGAGCTTCTGGTACCTTGAGCGGCCCCAGACCCCTCGCCGTATGACTTCCTTCCCCGGCATTGAGTACACATCATTTTGGCCTAGCTACGCTCCTGATAAGTATTGTGTATAAGTTTCATAACATTTGGTTGAGGCAAACTTAAGTTTGAGAACGGAAACAAAAAATTCAGCAATTTTTCCTTTTGTAAAAGGGCATAACTCTAGAACAATAAACGTGACGCCACCAAAAATCAAATTTTTTCTGTATTTTGTGGTAATAAGCATTGTGTATTATTTTCATAACATTCGGTTGAGGTAAACTTAAGTTAGAGAACGGAAACGAAAAATTCAGCAATTTTTCCATTTGTAAAGGAGCATAACTCTACAACGGTTTAAGTAACGCCACCAAAATTCAAACTTGATCTGTGTTTTGGTAATAATAATCATTGTGTATAAGTTTCATAACATTTGGTTGAGGCAAACTAAAGTTAGAGAACGGAAACGAAAAATTCAGTAATTTTTCCATTTGTAAAGGAGCATAACTCTACAACGGTTTAAGTGACGTCTCCAAAATTCAAACTTGATCTGTGTTTTGTTGGTAATAAGCATTGTGTATGAGTTTCATAACATTTGGTTGAGGCAAACTAAAGTTAGAGAACGGAAACGAAAAATACAGCAATTTTTGCATTTGTAAAGGAGCATAACTCTACAACGGTGTAAGTGACGCCACCAAAATTCAAACTTGATCTGTGTTTTGTGGTAATAAGCATTGTGTATAAGTTTCATAACATTTGGTTGAGGCAAACTAAAGTTAGAGAACGGAAACCAACTTTTGGACGGACAGACAGTCGGACGGACGTACGTACGGACAGACAAGGGTAAAACTTAATGCCCCCTCCGCTACGGCGGGGGCATAACGGCGGGGACATAAAAAGAAGAGTTCTGCTTGCAAGCCAAAATACTAACAAGGGGATATGGGGTTTCATCAACATCAAAAATACTTCTGTGATTTTTTATAAAGTTCATTGGAATTTACAATTCATTTCAAAGATAGATAGGTTTTTGCCTGTTGAAACAAGGATCAGGGGTGACGATGGTTCTAACAAATATTGATGTGTTTGTTGTCATCTAATGAAAGATTTTTAATTTTTGCATCCTAGAACAGGTCTTTAAAGTTAAAACGAGAAGCATTTCTGATAACTCTGTGTTCAATAACTACTTGTCCACGGCAATGAGCTGACACAATTGCATGTTGGCATCCCGTTTTTTTACCTTTTATTTACAAATCGATTTATAACACGTGCATTTAAAATGATAGGAGCATTATATGCAACAGAAAAGCGTCTATGTGGAAAAATTTCATGGAGCAACTAATTTTGGAGCGGCATGCGGACCAAAAATTTGCAGAAGCGGTAATTTTTTTTTATTGAAAAGTTAATTTCTCCAAAACAGGAGCGGGAAAATCCAAAGAATTATTCATTAAATTGGTGTGGCCTTATGTTTCTTTTTGTATTTTAAGAGGACTATAAAAGCGTTGACTGCATAAATTTGTACAAAATGAGATTAGGAAAACGCTTTAATACCGTAATAAATCTACAAAAATATTTAAGCATTCAATTTTCAATTTAAACAAGATTTGACGTAAACGTCAACAAGACTTGTGTGATTTACCAGTTTATGTTAGGGAATAGTGTCGATACAACATTTATATATGCGGAAAATAAGTGTCCTTATTATAAATGACTGAATCTGAAATATCTGCTGACAAGGATCTGATTATGTTTCAAGATTAGGAGCTTCAAAAGTGCAGGAATACAATGCTTCCACCTTGAACGCACAGAATTTTCAAAATAGAATCAACACTAAAATATTTTCTAATGCAATTTATTACAAGCTGATGAAAATAGGAAGTATCTCTTATATTTTGAACTCAGCGACCAGAAATCTAAATAAAAACAGAAGATTCTTACTCGTCCTTAACATTTCCGTTTGATGTGTGTATGGACGGTTTACCTAATGGGATGGCACTTCCATTAACACGATTGTTAAGTTGTTTTTCATTTGTATTTTTCAGATAGGCTTGAATGTAAAAATTAGAAAACAACAAGAGAAATGTTGCAGCTCCTAAAACAAAGATCCATACCATGTAACGTGGATAACCACAGTCGATAAACAGTAACTGTGAGCAGTGTAGTAAGATTAGTACAAACTGGATCTGGAAAACGAAAATATATACATATTATACTCTTCATAGACGCATTTTCCAATATAAAAATGTAACGATTCTAAACAGTTCAAATATTGTCATTGTTTTGTATTTATTGCATTCAAGAAACCTTAACGATATTTTTTTTAATTTTTGTTGAAAAGTTCACGAAAAAGGTTTTTTTTTTTTTAAAATGAGGAGTGTCGACGAGACAGCAGTACAACGACAAAAATAGTCAAAAGACACAGTCTTCAACAAAAGACGTCTGTACAATATGTCGATCTCTAAATCGTCCCCAGCTAGAAAAGTTGTGAATTAATTAAACAAAAAACCATCAAGGATATTTTGTCATTATGTGTTATTTTTTCTGTCTTTATAATTATCAAGATCTTGTCTGTCCTCCTTTGATAAACATTTACTCACAACACCTCAGAATTCTTAAATAAAACGTTGAATTGTATTTTGCTAGGCAAATTAAAACTTTGAGTTGTAGTTATCTTCCTTTGTTCATGATTGTACATTTGTAGTTGAACCAATTTTTATAACAGATTCATACACCATGCATTACTTATGTAATATTTAATAATAAAATGTTTTCTTGAAGTATGGTTATTCAAATACACATTATATTGTAACTTAAATATCAAAGTACAGCATATCATCTATAAATTGTATGACATTGACTGGATAGGATTTAATTAAGACACCGTTTACACTTGTACGAAATTGAACCGATCTTTATTTGAATTGATCTTAAAAAGACCAGTTCGCGTTTACATATGCACAAGCGATCTTATCAGTGGGATATCCAGTGAACGAAAACAAAAGAAAATTCACTCTTCTTATGATAGAGTCGATAAAGTCAATAGTAAAACAATACCGGTGACGATACTGATCAAAAGTTATTTTTAAATAATAATTGTACATTTTAAAGAAATTATTTGTTAAACTGTGCTATTAGAAATACACATGCAAATACACGATGTTTTATGTTCAGTATTTATCGAGATAATTGCTTTATAAGCTTGTAAAACTAAAATTTAAAAAATGTTAATCTTTGCTGCATATTTATAAAAAATTGGAAAAAAATCATGTACATACAAAATTAATTCGAAAGATCTTTCGGGTCACCAATTTTCGGAGTGTTCCAAAAAGTCCTTAGCATGTTACAATTTCCCAAAGTATGCTTATTTTTTCACACCTAAGTTATCGAGCACACCGGTCTGTTCTTGTCACATGTATATTCACTAGAGAAATATTATCTTTTCGTGAATATAAAATTTTTAAAGTCTGTCTGTGCAGGTTAAGAAATTAAAGATAATTATTTTTATAAAGTAGGCATCTTTCTATTATTTCGTCTCAAGTTTTGTACATGTATTTTCGGTCTTCTCGATCTATTCACATGCAGTGTTTACATCGAAATTAGGTCTGTTTGAATTTGCTTAGTAACTTAATTTCAAAAGTGCCAATCTTTGCTGCACACAACCGATTCCTTTGGAATTTCCCCCCTGACTTACTCTGATCTAGCTGTATATATATATACGAATAATTAGCATGTTCCAGAGATGTATACAGACAGTAAAAAATTAATTGAAGTTGGTACTTAATTTACTCGCATAGCAACATTTTAAATCAATTTTACACCAAGCTTCTAAAGCCTGCTGTACTCGTCGTTTGTTACTAAAGGAGGGAAATGTTACCACTGAATGGAAGTTTTGTTTTTATTTCAACTTATTTCTATTTTTACTATTTACCAGAACGGTTACAAGGAAGTAATTATTTACATAGGCGACAATGGTAGCCTTTTTTGGTCCTGCGTTTTCACTATCAAAGATCCATAGAAAAAAATGTCGAATTCTGAATTATCAACACCTTTGGGTGTAATTGAAACTGCAAAACACATATGGTGCCGCAGCTTTTTTGATAGAAAAATTGCATTTTTTAAGGGTACTCAACGGTTCCGGAATTTTCGAAATAGTATAAACGAAGAACACCCCTTGCTAAATTTGGCACAGAAAATGTTGCTCGTCACAGAGAGTTTTCTCTAAATTTCTCGCTATTTCTACACCAATGGCCAACACTCATTTCTCACTATTTCAATTTTGATTTCTAATTACAAGGGCAGCAGAAAATAAATTTACTTCTACCTATTATCTTGGATGTAAAATCTAGGTGGCGCCAGTCATCTTTATTTACTTCCTTTTAACCATAATTGATAGCGTCCTTGCTAAATTGGGACAAACAGAGAAGATCTAGGTTTCAGTGTTTACAGGGGAGGTAATATTTTGTCACTATTATTTAATCTAGTGCGTTTACACTGCAACTTAAAAGAACCGGTCTGACATGATTACTTTACATTTCGTAAACAAATAATCGCAAAAATAGAATAGTATAATAACGTGTGCATCTCGAGCGGACGATAACACACCGCAAAATCATGGACAAAATAGTTGGATCATTGAAATTTCGTATGCAGTTATTAATTATCTTTCTGGTTCATACGTCAGACATTCGGTCACTGTGTTTGAAGATGAGGATTTGCAGATAAGAAATAGAATATATCGATTCAGAAGAATGATCCAAAAACGGCGGAATCTATGTTTACTTTTCTTATCCCATCCATCGTTTTTAAACACGTGTGTTTATGCCGCCGAACATGCGCAGGTTTATTTTCATATCTAAATATAACATTCAACTGAAGAAAGATCGATCGCGATAGATTTAAGCGTTAAAAAACTTAACACTTGAAGAAAGATCGATTCAAATAAGATCGATCTTTTTAGAACCACCTCTGGAGGTAGACTTTTTAAGTCCGATTGAAGATCGATCTTTCCCGTTCACATTTGAATAAAGATCGATCTTAAGTTCTCAGGAAAGATTGATCTTTTTTACAAGTGTAAACGGGGTCTAATGATCACTTCACTGCACGACTTTGTTTCAACTAACAAAGCTATTGATAAACCAAGTGAAGATATAGATATCAAGTCAGTATCATAAGGGTTTTGATTGCATTTCAGGCAATTTTTACCCAAAAATTAAATAAAAGTTTACAGAGAATGTACAATAAAAATACAAATACAATAGTTGAGGGGAAACAGATGCAGTACGATAATGTTAAATGAAGTACAACGTTAACAATATGATGACATACATTATAATAAACGGTTAAACTAAATATGAAGAAATCAGTTTGATGCTATGCGTTTCTATGGAGGGACTAACCTTTTTATTAATACACGTAATGAATGAACACAGTTTTTTTTTTAAACTGATTGGTTTTATTTTTGATAACTCTCAACAGAACAGTCTATAGTTTATATTTTTGGAGAATTTTGTATCGATGAGTACCACGTCTACTTGTATTGGTCAATAAGCCTCATTTTGATGCTCTGAATTTGCCATTTTGAGAAAATTAATGTCCATTTTGTAGTTGGAAATATTCATATTGAACATGCATCATCCATTTAATATTTTCACTCTTTTACAGTGTGTTGATAGAACGCAATCTTGTAAATCATTTACGACAATTTGTTTTCGTCTGAAAATAGTTTGCACCAATACAGCTACACAAAGGCAGTACAAGACAATGTCGTATATACATTTGGCGCATTCGGTACATTTATCCTGCAATCAGCCAAGTATTGTACAAATAACAGGTACACAAATAAATTTTTGCTCTTGTTTCCCCTCTTCATGTTGAGCAAGCGGTAGTGTGGATATTTCTTTTTGCGTACCAGTTCATTTTGGGGTCCACTTCGCGGTCCGCGTTTAAACTATGTCGATTTCTTTGAAAAATTGAGACAATGATTTAGATTTAACAACTAAAGTTTCAAGTATTGGGTGTAAATTTCAGGATAAAAACAATATATGTACATTGTCGGAAAATATAAATTTATTTTTACTCGCTGCGAAACAGAAGAAAAGCTCGGCGAGCCTCGCTTTTCGTCCTGTTTTTAAAGCTCATACAGATAAATTTTATATTTTCCGACAATGTACATATATTGTATATTTATAAGTTCACGACATTGAAAGGATTATTATTCATGGAGTTTCCATCTTTACGTGTTTCGTGATGATCGAAATTTGATACTGACAGAAAAAAAATGTCTTAGGTTGGATCATTTTAAAGGTAAAAACCTCAAACTACAGATCCGACGATCGAAATTTGATACTGACAGAAAAAAAATGTCTTAGGTTGGATCATTTTAAAGGTAAAAACCTCAAACTACAGATCCGACGAATTACAAACCACCAAAACTAACATTTAAATACTTTGATAATAAAATATCTCTTGTAACTATACTTACAATTTGAAATTTTGTCATATACTTTTTCCACCATAAGTACTTTTGATATTTTGGTCCCATGGCGGACAGACCATAATACGTATACATAAAAAAATGAACAAGCGAGTTGATAGTGGGAAAAAATGCTGTCATGCCACCTGCAAATTTATTACAAATATTCTTTATATGTTCCTAGATTTTAGAAAACAAATTCTTTTATGTAATATGCAGCATTTGTAAACAAACCTTAAGTATTTATTATAAAGAATAATTGCAAAAAAGTTTTTGAGATGCACATACTTCCTAATCTAAAATTGTTCATACATTATAGGGGACACAATTGGGATCAAGTATAGAATACGTAATTGTAGTTTCATTTTTATAAAACAATTGTAGTTCCTTTTAATTGTATGTGAATTGTATGCATTTAAAGTATTGTAAAGATTAAATGGTCGACAGGTCAGCAGGTCGACAGGTCAGCAGGTCGACAAGTCAGCGGATCGACAAGTCATCGGGTCTACAAGTCAGTTGGTCGACAAGTCAGCAGGTTAAATGGTCCACAGGTCAGCAGGTCTACAAGTCACAAGGTCGACAAGTCAGCACGTCGACAGCTTTTAAAAAGTTTATTAGTGAGAATATTTTATCGACCTGCTGACTTGTCGACTTGCTGACCTGTCGACCTGCTGACATGTAGACCTGCTGACTCAATACTTCAATTGTTGGAGACCAATTATTTATATGCTGACTTGTCGACCTGTCGACTTGCTGCCCTGTAGGGTTAGGATTAGTTTAAGGGTTAGGTTTAGATTTAGAGTTAGGGTTAGTTTTAGGGTTAGGGTTAAGGTAAGGGTTAGCCTGCTGACCTGTCGACATGTAGAACTGCTGACTTAATAGTTCAATTGTTGAAGACCAATTATCTATATGCTAATAACCTGTCGACTTGTTGCCCTGGGTTTGTTTTAGGGTTAGGGTAACCCGGTTAGGGTTGGTCTTTGACTTTTAAAAAGTTTCTTAGTGAGGATATTTTATCGACCTGCTAACTTGTCGACCTGCTTACCTGTCGACCTGCTGACTCAATAACCCAATTGTTGGAGACCAATTATTTATATGCTGACCTGTCGACCTACTGACTTGTCGACCTGTCGACTTGCTGCCCTGTAGGGTTAGGGTTAGGGTTAGGGTTACTTGTCGGCCTGTTAATATATTGTTTAAACCTCGCTTATGTCTCAGCGTATGAATATTATAAATATCAGCGAAAGAATAGAGCCGGAACTTCTTAAACGTATACTATACTTGAGCCCCGAATTGCTTTATTCAGAGCTCTTGTTGAAAGTATAAACTTTATCATCCCGGTTTTTTGTTCTTTTATTGTAGAAAAACGTCTTGTGATAGCCAGCGATTGTATGCTATAGTTGGATATATAATGATAAGTCACGTGTATCCGCCTCCTGGATTAAAATAAGGAAACAAATAAAATGTATGGTACCCTCTGAACTGCTGTGAAAACACGGGTTTGTTTTGAAAACAGCTCCGATTCAAATAGCCAGATACGTGTCTTGATATTGTATCAAATGAGACAGAAAACATGAATAGATTAACTTTTATCATATTTTAAATTGCCAAAAGGTAGCGAAAATCGTACCATGTGACCTGAAATGTTTTGCACGCAGCACCTAGGCTATCGTCCCTTCTCTGAATATGAAAATATACAAAAGTTAATTAAGTTGATAACATTTTGAGGTTTTATTTTCAAATACGAGTACAGAAAATATTTCAGCAGTTAAGTTCCTAAATTATTTGGAAAAAATACATACCGCCCGCAAACTTTACACCAATCCATACAAATATTGGCATAATAAAATGGTGAAGAACATGCAGAAATGAAACCTGTGAGAACTTTTTCTTGAGAATAAAAAATACCTGAAAAGTAGACAATACAAATGACATCATCATCACCATTTTATATTATTATTATTATTATTATTATTATTATTATTATTATTATTACAACTTAAATTTTGATTTACAGTATAATAATTAATTGAATACAACGACAAGAAAATTCAAAAGACATCTAGAGGTCAGTACACGGTCTATATAAATATATGATTGAGTAAGTGTTGCTTGCTTAACGTCCAATGGCAATAATGTGATGCTTATTCAGGACGATAACAAATTATTCATTATAACAATAGGTTCTGCAATGTATATCGACAGGGATAAAGGGCGGTAAATTAGGACTAACACTGTAAAGGGCGGTATGTTGGATAGATGCAAAATTCTGCCTTGCACCAGGCCATCTACGGACCCCTTAGAGAACTTTAGCAAGGGTTCTTTAACGAGCAAGGAGCGTAGCATACACTTTACTGCCTTACATACAAAACTTTGTCAAGCTCTAAATCGCCTGTAATATTTTAACAGGAAACATCAAAGATATTTTATCAACACCAAATTATTTTTAATGACAAAAAAAACAATAGGATATAAAGAAAGACAAGTTCTGACGAGAACTCTGACTTCATTGCGCACACGAACATGAGGTGGGGTAAAACTGTAGGTTTTAAGCTCTCAACCAAGTCCTTTTCAGCATAGATCATTGAAATAACAAAAGGTACATGAAAGTACTTAAGTTATAAAAAATATATGCTCTGGAAACGGACTTAAATCTGAATATACCAAGTATTTAAAAATGCTAACATAATATTTCGAAAAATCGACATATGTATGTCAAACCCACTGCATATTATCATATCAGTGTTCTATCTTTAATTTTAAATGATTTGTGCCTGTTTTTTTTCATTATTTTTATTCTATTAAAATTATTTTTTGTCTTATACAACACAAATGGTAAAAAAAAACGAGGCACATATCATTACAATTTAAATCTAAACCACTGTTATAAAATGCAGTTGTCTATCGATACCAATACCAACTTTAGTTTCAAATTGTAATTTTCCTTTCATCATACTCGCATAGTGTGTTTTATTCTACCTCATATTACTCTAAAAATGAGTTGTAAAAATATCTCGTGATTTTTCCAAAGAATCTGTATCTTTTCTTACGACAGTCTTCGTTATATTTGTTTGAAATAGTGTTTTGGAAAGAAAAATCAAGCTTTTCCCTTGAATATTCTTTAACGCATTTAAATTTGGTGATTCTTCTTTTGACTAAGTGATCTGTTGTAAATAAAGTATTTTGTAGGCCGCACAGATATCTTATTTTTAACAAAATTAAATTTATTCTTTCAAATATGCTAAATGGAATAATTTTGACTGATATTAAAATGTAGTTCAAAGTTTGTTTTTTCATAAATCCAATGGTGTAATACAAGCCAGAGACAGTGTGAACTCTAAGATAAATGTTATATGGTCTCTTTTTCTTCTTTGCAGAATGTGAATTTATATTACTGTTATTCATCTTAAACTTATAAAACAGTTTCTCTAATTCTTTGACGATTAAACCCATTCTAGACCAATTGTTTAAAAAGAATAATCAACGCGTGGTTGCTGAAGGCGATGATCTCAGTAGATGATTGGCTAAGTTAAAAGGTCATAACCTTTATCACCTCTCAGGATGAGGTGTTAGAAATATTGACAACTCTATTTAGTAAAACTTTTACTTAGTGGAAATAGTTTGACCTTCAGAAATTGTTGTACAAGTTGTTTACTACACGTATTACATATGAATATATATTTCATTAAATGCAATGTTTTTGATTAAAAGTGGTCATTTATAAATGTTTGCTTCCATTTGATTGAGAGATGTATAAATGAAGTTTTTGCACATCAATTCCGTAGGTGTATGGCGCAGAAATCAGGAATGTGGAAGGCACTCGAAGGAAATTGTCGTTTATCAAAAACGAAAATGTATTCCATAATCAGAAACAGATACATAGTTACTCGTGGATTATCAGATTTATCCATTCTCGATACTTTATATAAAAATATTGTGGTATGATTGTCAATGAGACAACTATCCACCAAAGTTCAAATGAGGTGGATGTAAGCAATTATAGGCAACCGTACGGCCTTCAACAATGAGAAAAACCCATACCGTATGGACGGCTATAAAAGGCCCCGACATGAAAAATATGAAACAATTCAATTGAGAAAACTAACGGCCTAATTTATAACAAAACAATTTACGAAAAACAAATATGATAGAAATGAACCAACGACAACCACTGCACAACAGGCTCCTGACTTGGGATAGACACATAAAGAATGTGGCGGGGTTAAACATGTTTGCGAGTGATCAACCCTTCCACTAACCTGGGACAGTGGTGTAACAGTACAACATAAAAACAAACTATAAAAATCAGTTGAAAAGGTTTAACTCATCAGATGGATACAAATAGAAATACATCTAACAAAAACACAGAGTGGACGTGGACGGGTACTCATACGTCCCCACAACAAAAAGACACTAAGTACAGATCTGAGAGTACTCGCAGTTTAACTATTTCCATCCGGAATAAATCCGATAATCCACAGGTATCAATGTAAAAATCTATATTTATTAGTTCCTAAAATTCTATGGACAATTATGTACTGTACACAGTTAGAGGCTCGGACTTTAAAATTCGACAATTTAACTATCTCCATTCGGAATAAATCCGGTAATCCACTGGTACCAATGTAATAATCTATATTTATTAGTTCCTAAAATTCTATGGACAATTATATACTGAACACGTACAGAAAAGCTTTGTGCTTCTTGTGAATCTTGTACAACAAGAGTGTAATATCCGCCATATCATTTTCCCATTTTCTTTTGCTGCAAACGTAACATGCTTCTCATTCAAACCCAATAGAGGTCATGTCCGTTAACCCTTTCAAATAAAATGCCTATAATATTGTAGTGAAGCAATCCCTTGGACTGTTTATTCTATCACATCATAATTATCAATAGATTTTGGCAACCTTTTCTTTATTTTTGTATCTATTTTTTTTTTGGCTTATTTTGATTATACTGCTTTACACATCATATTGGTTTGAAAAATATTTGAGAAATCGTAATATATAGGGATCTTTATGTATCCTTTAAAATCGAAGATATAATCACTTTTTGTGGCCTTCGGTAAAATGTTTGATATATAGACGAATCTATGACAAACATCTTTTTGCTTATAGGAGCGTTCAAGTGCATGACTGAAGCAGAACCTGAAATAATTTAAAATTCACAAATTAAAAAAAGATTGAATATGTTTTATATACTTGAATGGCTAAGTATTACTATAAAATCAGTGAACGTGAACTTTCTCGTAAAAGAAAATCCTTCATGTCAACCATATTTTAGTTTTGTTTGTATTAGGTTTACTTTATTCTATCTAAGTTGTACCCAATAGTATATTCATGATCTTAAAATTTGGTTGGTTATTATTTTTCATTGTTCATATATATATATATATAGTCGAAGTGGTTATATACATAAATATATGTAAATAATTAATCAATTCCGTTTTCCAATATACTTGCTGGGTTATCGACAATTCTATATATATATTGTATTTTTTCATGGCTCATATAGAATAAAAGATGTGAGCGTGTAGGGTGTACCAAATTAAATACACCAAATCATATAACAACTGCTAAGGAAAAGTTAGATTAACAAATGGGAAAGCATGGAAAATATATTAAAAAAAATTATCATGACTCTATCAATTCACTTATTTTTCACGTGCACTGTGTTGATTATTTATCAATGTCACGATCCGGTAATCTTCGGCAACACACTCAAAAGTTAATTAGCTTGCAATCATCAATCACCGAATGAAATATTATTTGTCGATAATTATAAGACGTTATAGTTTCGTAATAAATGTAAAAAAACGTGCATACAGGACTTTGTATAGTATATATGCATGCATTGGTTCAATAATTTCGATAACATTATAATTACAAAAACCTCGTTTCATGTGACTTTAAGAATGACTTATTAATCTAACAAGGAGTGAAGATGAATAGAATCATATCTTTGTATCACAACAAAACATGGCCTTGTATGGTGATATGTAAAAACCATTTAAAATGTTCAAAAATATCATCAATCTTGAAGATCGACTGGGATATATAGAAAATAGTGCACACGCTGAAATGTCTCGCCTAATATATACTGACCATTGATTTTATGTTGATAGTCATTAATATACAATTTCACTACAAGTATCACATTAACATTTATGATCCAAGAAAATGAGGTCAAAGTCAGATAAACCAAGCCGGAAATACATGTACACCTTTAATACAATCATTCCATACACCAAATATAGATGACCTACTGCTTATAATATAAAAGATCATAAAAGAAACAGACCAAACCATGGAAATTTTATATTGACCAATGAATCATGAAAATGATGTTAAGGTCAGAAAAAACCTGTCACACAGACATGTACGCCCTAAAATCATTCCATGCATCAAATATAGTTGACCTATTGGTTATAGTAGCTAAGAAACAAAGTTAACCAGGAAAACTGAACATTGACCAATGAACCATGAAAATGAAGTGAAGGTCAGATGATACCTGCCAAACAGACATATACACCTTACAATCATTCCATACACCAAATATAGTTGACCTAATGCTTAAAGTTTAAGAAAAACAGACTAAAATCGTAACACTGAGCAATGAACCGTGAAAATGTGGTCGAGGTAAAATTAAACCTGCCAGACTGACATGTACATAGTAAAATCTTTCCATACACCAAATATAGTTGACCTATTGCAGACAGTATTAGAATCAAAGTACTGAAGTATTGAAAATCGGATGACCGCAATTTCTGGTGGATGGTCACAAGCACTTGTCTCAGAAAAAAAATCACATGTATATACCTGAAAGTTAGGTTAAGAAACATAGATATATTTTTTTCTGAGACAAGTTCCTGTGTGGATAATGAATAAATGACACGGAATTCAACC